TATATATATATATATATATATATAATCTGCCTTCCAGTTCAGAGAAAGCGTGGAGCCTCAAACCTGTGTTTGGGGGGGCCGTATGGTGTGTGCTGTCTCTGCTGGCTTCAGTTCCCTCCTTTGTTCAAGGATGAAAATTCCTTAGCCCTCTGGTCCTACTGTGGCCATCCTATGCCTGTAGATAAGGTTTCCTTACTGCCTAATCCCTACTCACGGCCCCATTACCATGGCCCACACAGGGTAACATCTAAGCCTGAGTTTCCAAACTATGGCCCAGCCCTCCCTAGGCTCAGACTCTTTCTCCTTCCCCTAGGAGAAGAACAAACATTCATGGTCAATGTCAATGAGGTTCACAAGGAAGAAGGAAGAAGAGATGAGAAAGAAAAGCATGAGCCTCGTGAGAAGAAACAGTAAGAATGAAATGGTCACTTAAAAAATAAAGAAGACACAATTCTTCAGTCCTATGAATCTCTCAGTTTTATTGAAAAGTTTAAGCAAAATCTTTTCACGTTACAAGTAGTATTACTCTGCCCACATGTAGCCAAGACCATGTACTGTTATTGCAGTGAAAGTAACTATATCAGGAAAACATATCAATTGCCATTCTGTCCATCTGACAGTATTATAAGAAACAATGCTGTAAGAAAAGCAGATAAACATAGGCTTTCTGATATAGGAATGCAAAGCAGAGTTAAAAAAATATAGACAAGGCTGAACTAAAATATAAAATGAATTCCTGAGTTGAACTTTAATCTGAAAACATTCATATTCACATTTTATATGAGTGAAAATGAACTAGCAAACCTCATGAGGGACCACAGGGTTTTGGATTCACAATGACATCGTCACTGAGTGACAGCAAGTGGTTCAGAGCTCCTTACAGTCTCTCCACCGTACTTTTCTCCTGAGACAAGTGGAATTACAGCCTGCCATGCAATCTAGAGTTCACACATATCAGAATGTATCAGTCTTCAAGTTATTTATAACACAGGCTTTTTAAATCAGTACAATCTGCTTTTCAAGACCCCAGCAACCTATTTTGCTTGCCCTGAGCAATTTAAACATTTGCTAAACATGTGTTATTGTGGTCTAATAAAATTCATTATGGAATCTTTACTACTGGCACAGTTAGGATAGCAAAGCACTTGACTAAATATCTACTATACAAAAATATGACAATGTCTTATTTAGCTCTTTAAATATAAGACAATTAGACTAGGGAATCCTTTAAGAAAAGATGAGAACTTAATACTTTTTTTATACTGTGCTTAAGCTGGTGACAGATTGTTTACCAACAATCAACAGAGTGGAAAATTTCCAGTGCATGTATTAGTTTATCCTGGATAGGGGTAAAAAGGCAATAGAGGAGATTTTAAATTGCAAGGGGAAACTGAATAGTTATACAGGTCTTTTCATATGTCAATGGTATTTTTTCAAGACTTAAAAAGATAACACAATGGCAGTGACATTAACTTCATATTCAGCCAGAAATAGGCAAAATACAGCTAATATGTTTTGAATCCTAACTAAGAAGAACCGGACATCATCAACGTTATAATTTTTTTGCATATAAAAATATAGAAGATCTGGGAAAGGAAAATAAGCAAACACATTTCACATGACTTGCTGTACAGGTCTGAAATTTGGTTTTCATGGGTTTTTCCTTATCAGATCGATGACTTCATTGTACACCTGCCAAGGGGCATCTAAACCCCAGAGAAAGTCAATGTGATCCCACCCAGGAATTTGCTTGTGGTACACCAGGTTGGGGATCTGAGTCAGTAAGAGATTGACATCACTGGCATCTGCGAACCAGTCGTGCTCTCCGCTCCATAGTGCCATGGGCACGAGCATGTCTTTCACATTGTACACGGGAGGGTAACTCTACATGCAGAGAGACACAGAAAGCATTGTTATAATTTTCAAAGTCACCCTGAATACAATCTCCATAAAACACTGTCAAGTAGGTCTGAGCTGAGCACAAGAGACTAAATTTTGGAAATCTGTCTCAGTACACTTTCCAGGTTGCCTTTACCATAGCAAATAGTAATCCAACCCACAATGAAAGACTATGAGTTAGGGAGATGTTATTCCACACTGGTGATATAATGACTGTTTAGTATCCCGTGAGGAAGCCATTGTTTTCACCAGGGAGTAGTAGATGCTACAGGAGAACCAAGTAATCTGGAAGGGGCTTCGGGGTAACACCTTCCCACCTTCTCCTTCTTAGTGTAAAACAGGTCCTAGAAATTCTCTAACACTCAGTTCTTCCATCTTTAAATCAGAGATAACCACATCTATGTCACAGGGATATTGCAAGAAATAAGAAAAATACACATGAAGTATTGCATAGTTTAGTTCACTGAGCACTCAGAACACGAACTTGTAAGGAGAAGAAGCACAAGCAATGTAATACTGCCAAGGTCCCGAAGCTGGCAGATAACAGATCGAGGGTGCATTCATGATTACTCTGAGTAACGCATACCCGTGAGGATTTGTTCCCACAGCCAGGAAAAGGACAAAGAGAGGATGCCCAGCCTATAACCACAATGAGAAGCCTGGGTCATTCTGGAGTTGACTAAGGGAAACTAACACTATCTAGTCCACCTTCCCCAGCACATGCTATAGCATCTGAGCCCAACCAGCACCCTGATCGCTCTGCCTGGATGAGTTCTTAGGGCCCATTTTAATGAAAAGAATGAAAACTTTACCTGGTTGTAATGAAAATAATTCTTGGCACTGCTTCCCCAGTCAAAGGCTTGAAATCTTTTGTATTTAACAGTCTGAAAAGAAGGTGAATTAGAAAAATGTTGTCTGATATTGAAGACTAAAATAACATCATAAGTTGCTAGAGTTGGCTACATCTTCTGAAATCTATTTTAATACCAAACCCCAGATACCCTCTTCATTTTCAAATCATTATTTAAAATAAAATAAAATAAAATAAAATAAAATAAATTGTTTTGGCTTTCTTTATTTTATGACTCAATTCTCACTGTATGACTGGAAAAACCCAACTACATGACACAAGGAAGCAGCTATACACACATAGTTTGAGTTGCACTAGATCCACAGTTGCTCCTGTTAGAACAACTTTATCTGCATCGATATCCTCCACTGAAATTTGCATCTTAAAGTTTTTCAACAAGTTAATGATTTTACTTGGAGATACACACACACAGAGACACACACACAGACATACACACATACACACACACGGTCATGCGTCACAAAATGACATTACAGACATCAATGGGATATATATATTATAATGGTCCTATAAGATTATATCACTGAGTTATGTAGCTGTGTAGGTACACTATATTATGTATGCATATAATGATGAAAATATCTAATGACACATTCCTAGAATGTATTTCTATTGTTAGGAGATGCTTGATATATATTTGTGTGTATGTATATACATGTATATATAAAACTTTTCTACTTTATTATTATTCATATTTTAATGATTTAGCACTTTTTT